TGGACTTCTTTTGCGTCGATAAGTCCATGATTTGGGTATGAAAAAGTCAATATGGACCCTGTATTACTATTTAAGACAGAGGTCGTTCTAATTCCCCAGTCCAAAAAGAGTGAAATATCAGTTATCTATTAGTATTATTATTATTTTCACACAGGTTTGAATCCAGACAGTGTGATAAACAAATCACGGTACAATATGAAAAAGAAACGCGTTCCAGGATTGGCTTGTGGGCTGAATACTGCCCGGTTGCCCAGGCCAAGGCAGGTGAATTTTCCGGAGGAATTCACAACAGAAGGCTTTGGCTAGCCAAAGCCTGACCCCCATGCTAGCAGAGCAGTGTGTAAAAACAGCAGTCCATTGCGGGCCGGTGTCCACTTCATCGGATCATACTCCCTTTGGACGGAGTCCAAGTTGCCCGACACACCTTTCTGCCCAATCGAGCCGGTGACCACTGACACAACCAGGAAAATGTGTGTGTGGTTCGTACACTTTGGTTGGTTTGGAATCAGGGTTTTTGGCCTAGTCCTCTAGGTAAACTACCACTGGTTCACCAACCCCATTATAGCCCCCAATGTCGGCTTTTCGTCCTCTCACTTTTGTGAGAAAACATTGCCTCGAGAAGGCAGTGAGTGGGGCTTCCTCAGCAAAGGCCATTGAAGACGCTTGGTCTAATGATAACATTTCGCGAGGCGTAAGGGAAGGGTGACCAGCCGTAACTCTAGACACCCACCTCAGACCCTGCTGAGGCTTTGGAGTTATCTGACCAAACGTGGATTCATCGACAACCGATGCGCAGCTGTATCCGAGACTGTAGTCTTGTTCCTCTTTTGTGGTATGGGATTGACACATACCATTTTTTGATCACCAACCACAGTGAAAATTCTTGTGAGAATAATACAAGATCGAGAGACAACCAGTTAGTCAAATTTCGCAATTTGAAAGTGATTTATGCGTAATGCTTTGGAAACGGAAACAAACAATGGGTAGTAACATTTCTATAGATCTGTGAAGATTATTTTGAAGTGGTATCTTCATCTTGGTCTTCTTGGATGTAAGGTAGAGAAGCCAAATCTTGTCACCACTGGCATCAAAAGCAACCCATCTACGTGTCCGTAGGTTGCCATTGTTTCAAGAGTTCGTTTCATTTGCTCCTCATTCTGCTCGTCTACCATCTCCGACGAAAGTGACTTCCAAAACATTATCAACTTTCTGGAAAGACGACAAACCAGACGTAGCTCCCGCAGGGTGAATCTGTGACCACACTTCCGGTTGAACTCTCGTTGTGGAAGCAGAGGACTTAGCTCCGGTTCCAAATAACTTCAAGCAATCCTCCACAAGCATATTAAATTCGCTCATCGTCCACTAAAGGTGACCAGCGTTTCAGTGTTCAAAGCCAACCCTGAAATCTGACCTCATGAAGTCCCACATCTAGTCGTGTGGAATCGCCTGGCACCTTTCCCAGTTCAGGTAGTTCGGTAAGCGTGCAAGGATATACAAAGGTTCCACTATATTCAATCCGCGGAAGAACAGACCGCTTCTGAAGGCCGCAATTTACGGTCTGTCAAACGGCCGATAAAATAAGTGTGGTATGGTTAAGGTGTAAACTAGCTCGCTACTACAATTTGTGTAGATATTATACAATTGGGAAAAGAGCAAGGGATACATAATTCTAGTTTTGGGCGTTGCAATACGAATAGAACAGAGACAACCAACCTGTTTAATTTGACCGGGAGATATTGGAAAAAAAGTATCCGGTTGAATTAGATTGAAGTTGAATACACTGTTCAATGGAATACGTGCACAAAACAGTTTGACTGGGTCAGAGTTTGAGACCCAGCATATTCTTTCTGTATTACCTCCAGGATAATGATGAAAATACGAGGTGTACCATGAAATCCTATTTTAATGCTGCTTAGCTAAGTTCAACATTCCTCATGTTACGAAATATCCTATATCACGGCAAATATAACTTGCATAGAATGACGCTATCTATGAATGTCTATAAATTCAAGTGCAGTTGTAGTGCAACTTTGTGTAGGTCGAACGGCAAGGTGCTTATATCAACGTATCAACGAACACAATCCAAGCTGGCTCACACGTGGTTAGAGTAGAGCTGGGTTCAGCTAAATAGGTGCTCATTTGATAAGGATGGGACACATGGTTGACATGCTCTCGGCATTCACAATCAGTTGCTGAGTCGTAATAAACCCCTAGAGCATTATGGTTTCTGACAGTAGACCTATAGAGGTGAGTGTCGTGAGGCTTGAACTGTCTCCACAGAGAAAACAAATCCAAGCTCTTAACCCCTCAATTCGACTGTTCACATGACCATGTCACAAACAATTTTGATTGTGTAAACTAAACAACTTACCCATCTGGGGTTTTTTCAGGCAGGTGACCACATACACATAAATAACTCATCAGCATTCTGCTTGGCCTTGCTGAGTTTCTCATCCTAAGTTAGATTGTGGATGCCTGAAAACGAATTCACCGTAAACATTTGTTATCCTAGATTGTTTTTGTTTAATCATTTGCTATACTACATGAGTTGAAAGTATTTCTTTATTCTGTAACGAGTCATTGGACCAAGAAGTGTTTTTCCTGGCAGTATCGAAAATGAGAAATACTTTCAGTCGGCCACAACTGGGTTTGAAATAGACTATCTTTGATATTGCCCACAAAGAAGATTTACTTGTTCGCGTGCGGTGTTTCTGCATGGATGTGTTGATGAGGGTCATGAGGAGAGCAAATAACGGGGCACGCGGAGTTTTGAGCACAACAACCAGATTGTACGAGCGCGCGTGTGCCCAATGAGCTCACCCAAATTCACTTGAACAAAATACTGAGCAGATGACTCAAGGAGTTTGAACAAGATTCCGTGCTCAGTACTCTCAGCACCAAATGTATCAATGAGGTCTCAAGTGTCCCAGGCACTTAATCAAGACGTATTCCGTTCATCTGTGATCCAACGCTTATAAACCAACAGTTAAATAATGGTTCTTTCTTGTTCGATGCGCAACACGTTAAAATTCAAGCGGAATTAGTTTATTTGCTGGATTTCAATCAGTGCCGACAAGTTGTCTTTATCCTGCATGGACAAAAATGGTCAAACAATATCAACAGATTCTGGCCTCCAAGGTATTGTGTATGAACCCCATGATTTCAACGTGACATGTTCTGTTTTCGCCATTTTTCCCTTATAGGCTGCTGCTGATGCAATCACCGATGCAATAAGAAAAGATTTTAAATTATCAAGTTTGGGTTGGCCCATTGGATTTTTCAGAGCAACATACACTCTTTATGTTCTTGGCTTTGGATTTCATTCCTTGGAAGATCATTAATTTCCGGTTGAGTAAATACATTTTAATACGAATAAACTAGTTTGGAATTATTGATATCCCGATGGGTGAAAACCACACCCAAGACCATTAACAATGCATAGAGCCTGTGAAAAATCCAATAGATTATTCCAAGTTTACAACTCTTAATGGCTTTAATCATTCGCACAACATCACGATCGCCTGCTCTGTAGCTCAGGGGTAAGAGTTCGAAATCTCAATCCGAATGTCTGCGGTTTGAGTTCTGACAGAGACAAACCGGACGTACTGCTGATGAGTCCCAAACAGGACGAAACAGCTGTTCAGTGATCTTTGTTGGTTATTGCAACTATTTCCGTTTTTTATGAAATAAGAGAATGTTTATTGATATCGATGTATCTGTCCCCGCGGTGCAAACTGAGGAAAATCTATTGAACTGCATTTAAAATGCCAACTGAGCTGATCAAGCCAAAGAGTAAAAATGAGTGGATAAAACCTGCATCCGATTCCATCTGCCAGAGGCCATTGCAACTAACCTTCGCAAGTATTTCTTTGCTCGAAGAAGACAGTTTGTAACACGAGTTAATTAGACGATTGACCTTTTCCAGAGTTACGTTTATCCTTTTTATCTGTGAAGCATTTGCATGTTATGCATTTCAATCGACAAACTGCCACCAGTTCACTTCTTGGAAACAGAACAGTTATCATAAATGAACTTAAATCATAATCGTATCACAAGCGATGCATTCAAACAAAAAGCCGTTCTCACACTACTGTCTTCAAAACTATGAGAACTGCCTCATTGGAGCAGTCAACGAATCACTAAAATGAGTTTTTATCGCAAACCCACCTTCCAAGAGTCGATTAAACCAGGACTTATTTTTGTCCTACAACACCTAGCATCAAGTTTGGGAGGTGAGCGATCGGACGATCATCCATAGATCCATGATGGCTTCTTGTCGAACCGCGAAGTCGGGTAATAGTACCTTAATGAAAAATAAATTTTTACGGAAGCAACCCTCCCAGTTAAACATGGGTTTCGTAGTCATATTGGTTGAGCCTAAAAAAATCCGAATTCGTCTATTACTGACGTGCTTGCGCTGCAAAAGTTGATTTACTTCGCCGTGCTTACACAATTGGTTAGGCCGTTCTCATGTGCACGGGTGCGCACGGGTGTGAGTCAATTAGTCAGTTAGACAGGCTACCCTGACCGATGGGGGGTTTATGTGCATACTTTGTTTACGGTAATTCCAGTTTGACCTAGTGAACCCACTTAGAAGTTTCCGTTTTCTAGTTTATCAATCTCGGTCTGTGCTGGCTGATTTGATCAACTTATGAAACGCTTTTCTTCTGACAGGTTTACAAATGGCTAATTGTTTTTCATTCGGATCAGTCCATTACGCAATGAACATTTTCATGCAATAATTGATCATCCCGACCAATGTATCAAATGGATATAATTTCACAGTGCTCCTAATCTACCTACTGGCGAACACGGTTTTGAAACGAGAATTTTCCTCAATCCCTTAAAGAAAAAGTAAATTTTGATGTTGTCGACTCTAAAAAAAACTCTTTTGGGGTGTAAATAAATATTCAAAACGGAACAGAAATAAATAAATGAAAAGTCATTTATTGTTTTTGTTGTACACGAGAGGTAAATGGAAATCAAAATTACTCAAACCTTTATTTTTGTTTGGAGCATGCCGTTGGTTTGCCTTCAAGGAGCTTTTGCCATTCAGCATAGAATTGTTCTCGTGTATTCACCCATGGGAACCCTTCATCCGGAATGGGAAGATTTAGAAATTTACACAATGGGTCCCATCCCATTCCCGGACGGAATAACAACAGACGATCTGACGGGATTGTGGCCTCGATTTCCGCGTTGCGCTTATCGTACGCGTTCATCAGCGCAATGTCATCATCCAGATCGAGGTCATCGCCAAGTGTGTGGCGAATTGCAAGCGTATTTGTCTCGAAACAGCTTTTCAGAAACTCTGCCAACGGGCCCACAACGTCGGGTACTTTCATACCCCCTCTAGGCAGCACTGTTTCCCGTACACTCTGGATCCATAATTTCCGATCTCTGGTGGTAAGAATGAACTGTTGAAAAAATGTACAAAACCGGACAATCGATAAACGTTGTCGTGCAGACTGGAATCGATCAAGGTCGTAAGTTCATATGTGGACAGTCAAAATTTCAACGAGAGAATAAATAAGGAAACGTTCATCGAGTATACAATAAGCCGCTTCCCTCAAGTAATTAGTTTTTTGTGCCATCATTAATTCCTTTGTTCATTCGCATTACCCACCTTACGCATCTAGTATTTATCCTCTTATCGCACTGTCTCCCTCTCTAGCTGACAATCTCCTCAACCGCTTGAAAATGGTAGGATACTTGAACCCCACGCCAACTGAAGCGTTTTCAGGTCTTCGTTAATACGTCTATCATTTAAGAGGTAGGCTGTCAACAGGTGAGATTTGTATCATTGTTGTAGACAGGCCGTAGAGATGTGACGATAACTGCTAACAATGTAGCCAAAAATGCCTCATATGTCTGTGAAAAACGTTGAGATATGCGTGGATCTAGTTTGCCACCAATGGCTTGCCACCTGATCTACCGAGGGCTGGAGATGAGCTATCGAACAGAAAAAAAAACCTTATGTTACTGTGGATGACATGCATGAATGTGTGGTCCTTAATTCTTTATTGTAGATTCTTTCAGGATGTCGAACTTATTTCACTTGGGCGTTTACGCACTGGATTCACTCAATTGCATATCTGATTCATTGAGCTTATAATTTACATAATTAAAGGCAAATATTTAACAACTACTGAGCTGACCACTCAAACCACAAACTCACTTTGGCCTCAGGATAGAGCTTCACCAAATGATGATAAAGAGATGACAGTGGTAAACCAGAAGATGAACGGTATCCCTTTACAAGTCCATCAATCTCGTTCTTCGAGGGTGCTGATGACGGATTCGATTTCAGCTTCAAGAACAGATTTTTCCATTGGATCACATGTTCCGGATGTTTGTCACGAATCTCGGACAAGTGATAACACGGTTGTTTCAGTAGTTTTTCAAGAGCAACCTTCACACTGGTTGTTCCAGTACGTTCTAACCCCAACACAATGATCACTGGAGCACCGTCACTGGTCAATTTCGAGTAGCTGTGTGGAACACAACATTATAAAACAGATCATCAGTCGTACACACAAGCAATAACAGTCACAAGTTCTTTGGAAAATGGGACCTTTTAAGGAACAAAACAAAAGTGATTCAGTTTAACCATAGAAAATAACTAAAAGCAAAACTTTCGAAGAGCCCAAAGAAACAGATATTTTCACGATGAAAATAGCTGGAGACAATGGAGTTTCGCCGGTTCAGTATCGAATGGTGTTCTTAAGTAAGATGTTATATTCAGGACACACCGTGCTGACACAACGTTTGTTCAACTATCAAGAAATAACAATGGCAGCCAGGCGAAACGTGATAGATACTTCGAGGGCTGTAACGTGATAAAGTCACGTAAGAAGGTAGTGAGATAAACTGATTCTCCACATTTAGTACTGAATTTTCCCAAAAAACGTGTTGTTGCATTTTAACCGAGTATATTATTTTTTTCTTGACGAACCTGAAATTGAACGTTGGTGACGGCATAACATTGGATGAATGGTCTGAAAATAGTTTCATCGACGTCAGCTATGCAATGTGCAGATCTCTTAGGCCACAAACTAATACAGACTGACTGATTTCAGCGCTCATCCGCTGAATTAACAAAGGGGTTAGCACCGGATGTATACGACTTTTGGTCCCGCAACGAGGAATATCAGATTATATATATATATATATATATATGTGTTTTCTATATCTTAAGTACCTCACTCTCTCGGAATATGAAGTCCCATCAATCAAACTCGAAGGACACAGGATATAGACAGTGCCTTCCATTGTACTCATTTGATTGGCAATGAACTTTTACTAGTATATATTGGTTGCTCATCAACAATATTGTTCGAGTTTTCTACATCGACTGAAAACAGTAAATTTACCTGACGAAGATATGGATTCGATTGAGTTCATAGCTTCTTGCATACTCGAAAGAAATACCTTGCCCGCTAAATCTAAACGGTGCATCTACGTGCTTTGATTATTGAAGCAATCGAAATCAGGTAGAGAATCGTACTAAAATAAAACTGACTAGTTCCTATTTGAAGTTAAAAATTCGTGGAAAAATTGAGTTTGATGTTCGCCGTGCATCACGCATGAATCAGTACGGTCTTTATTGAATTTATGAGAAGAATAACCGATGATATTGCATAGTTATCAGAGAGAGAGTGGGTGGGGGCAGAAGTTGACTCACTCAGTCATCTTTGAGAAAGTGTCAGTCCCGATGCAAAACGCGGGCAAATCAACTGCATGTGCAGTTTATATACTAAGTTGTCAGTACTGTGAGCATATTTGTTTGCGTTGAGTACAGGGCACGTGTATCGGGTTGTTGTGTTGAGAATGAGGTGAGCAAAAGAAAACAGCAGTAAGAGAGCAATGCTGAACATATCACACGACCTATCTATCCTTTGATAGTTTATGGGGTCACATAAAACATTGTTTTTTGTAGTATTATTTCTTTTGATTACGTTAGTGTTAATACGTGCTATTGAAAGGTTGTAAACAGGTCTCTATTTCACACATCTGATGTCCAGTTCCCTCTAGGTCCGCATTGTTCATTTTGCTGCTATGGTGACCAAAAATCGACTGCTCTATGTATGTGAATAAACAGCGGTCTATGTCAAAAAGGGTATGAGGCAATCGGATAGTTCTGTCCTGCCGAACTCTCCGGGGGCAGGAGGGGGGCACAACGCGGACGAAATTAGGGTAAATTCACCGGAATCAGCCTGAATGCACACGTCATTCTGGGAACTACAGTAACGTGTGAAGTAAAAGTACACATTCCACACACACGCACACTTGCGCAAACTCCCATTACCGTCTGCCTGCTTCACACATGGGAACATGGAGATAAAAGGGTCGGATGAGAAAATATTATCGATGCACCTCTGAGTGTACAAAAATATGAATCTATTTATATAAATATATACATGCATAAATATATATGAATATTTGTTTATATATATATATATCTTGGGCAATGATAGTTCATCTCGATAACAGCATCTGACTGCTAACAGTATTGTGGTCAGTCTACCAAGAGTGTGACTTGGCTTGATTTAAACCTTTCTGGTGTTGACACATCAACCGAAGTATAACAGATGTGAGACGACACAAGTGAAGAACTCTGTTGAAATGTAATCCACTGAGTGAGAGGGCGCGTATACAGTATCCGCAAAACTAATAAAAATCACACTCGACTTTCTTGGTCAGTTCAACCAGGTGCCTTATTTTCTTGTATTTACATATAATTCGTAGACAAAACCAGTGTGATTGATTTGTGGAGGGAAATGGGACAGAACAGAAAACAGGAGAATCAAGATCACTTCTGTAAAACGTCTGTTGGCATTCTATTCATGCTCGACAAGTCAGACTATGTTTCATCATCCGGACTTGATGGAAATTATGATTTGCCAAAAACACCTGGAGTGTGGTAACCATTTTCCGCCGCTTGAATAGTTGTGTGTAAGGATTCTGATTACGTCTGCTTGACGTTCGTTTCCATCGATCACATCAGTTCCAGTTTTGACAACCATTAACTATGCACCTTCTTGCACCGGTTTTGGTTGCTGTCCTTTAGTGCCCCATTTGGATAAAAGAATAGAATGTTGAAAGCTAATTCCAGCGGAGGATTGAGAATTCATATAGAGTGGTATTAGGAGAATAATGAGTGCATGCACGACAGACAGTGTCTCCAACCATTGGTAACCGTCATCTCGAGGTCTCCAGCCAAGGAGCCTAACAGGGCCTTTGTGACCTAGTCTCCTGGTTACGATTTCTATACCCTCATACCATGTCTTCGTTTGACCACCCCTGCTACTTTTCCAACCGCTACCGGCCTCGGCGAACACCGCTCACCGTGGCAACCTATCTGGCGACATGCGTAACTGTGGTGATCCGAGCCTACGAGATGACGCGTATCTTGGAGTGACGCGTTACAGTTTTTCGACAACCGCGATCAATGAAACTTCATGAGTGACGTCAACAACGCGCGTATGTGTCACTGCTTCTGACTGTATACCATAGGTAGATCGCACCAGCTAATAAAGTAACCGTGCGGTCCAGACGGAAGCAGAACAATGCAAGCAATACTGTAACGCGATTGGTAGAAGCTCGGATACCCAATGACACTATCTACATATTTAATCCCCTTCATTTCTTCCAGTAAGCGAAATGCCACTCCGGTGACCTTTTCCGCGTGTCTCAGTTACGTGGGATAATGCGTGCTAATGCCATTGCGGTCCAGTCCCTAAGTGGTCCAGTCCGTGACTACTAATCCTTTATTAGTATTTCGCGATCCATATTGCGTGATTCGAGTTCCGATTTCAGTGCGTACTACTACTGACATTACTACAATCACCTCAGTAAGATATGCCTCAATCAACCTAATCTGTGAAGGTCGATCACTTGCTCAAGTGGGCGATCGCGACTGCACGAAACTCTACGCCTGAGCTCAACATTGACGTCCGAGTACTCCACCAAACTCGTGCAATTTATCGTATATAGAGGTGTTTGAACACCAACGATCTATTTTTATCCTGTTACCGTGGTGGCCAAGTAGCTTGATCGTAGAGCAGAACTGGCTGAACTGTTGCAGCATATACTCGACCCTTTACAGAAAGCGCCATAGATATCTCAAGTCGGCAATTGCCACCCGAGGCTTTTATATGTGCGCCCACACTTGTGTTCACCTGGTGGGATATAGCTCCCAGATAGCAAAACTTGTGTATTTCCTCTAGTATTTCCCCAGTCAAGTGTAACTGAGTGTTGTACCAAGAATTAAATCTATCACGAAGTTAAACAGAAAAGGAGAAATTGGATATCCCTGACGAACACCTTTTTCCGTGTACGCCTGACGAACGGCGAGAACCGCGAAACAGGTGGTGTGCTTGCAGGGAACTTTTGTGGTCACTCATTTACTACCTATTATGAAATAAATATATAGAACTTCAACAGTAAATGACGAAAGACGAATTTAGCATATCAAGCACGTTCACTATATTCCACGAATTACGAGAACGTAAAGATGCTGAATAAAACTTAATAGATAGTTAAGCTTTATAAGTATGTTTACCGAATCAAACACGGAGACAGTAATTTTTCACCACTGCCAAACCGAAAGCAAAAAGGTAACTGAGAAAGCAGTTGACGATTCCAAAACTACCCTTGCCGTTTTCTGCTTACCAAACAGTTACATAAAAAGATCATGTGGTGACCTATTCGGTCAGAAACACGCCGAGGTCTTACATGAGCTGAGGCGGAACACAGAATTATTTTGATGTCTGAAAAAGGTGGAGTATTGGTACTACCGGATTGCAAATAATTTGCGGAGAAAACGATGACTATCCTGAACGAGAGAAACAACGTAAAAAAGAGGAAAATGTAAAAGATATGTCTATCAGGAGGAAGTGAAACCAATAAAATGTTTCACAGCGTTGAAAAATCAAACGTGCATATCTAAATGTAACCATGTATTGTATTTGTAACTTTTGTAAGCATATTTGCTTACATTTCAGTTAAAAATGTACATTGTTCGTCGAGCAGAATGAAATAAAAATAATCAAAACAAAAGGTAAACAAGGTCGGTGATATACGTATCATGTACAAAGCATTTGACTTAGTTCATTTGAGATCTGTTCCTTTTTGGTGAGTAGTCGCGCCAGGTAGGGTACAGGGGAACTTTTATAAATGGTAATGCGAGAGGGTAGCTGTCGAAATAAGGAACGTGTGTACAAATACAATCCAATCGGACTCATATCCTTATACAACATCATCTAGTAAAAGTTCATGACACCATAACGGATGGTGTTATATGTACAAAAATCTCTGTTTCACTCCATTGCCCGCTGACTGACAAAAATCCCCGGACCGATCTAGAGAATAAACGACAACCATAAACGGGAAGATAATTCGAATTTGGTCGTTAAAGACCTGGTAATGATCTCCTTGGATATACAACCCCCCGTTTGAAAGGTATGCCTATGAAAATCTGAATGTTTTGAAGAAATTCACCGTGTCAGTCAATTCAAGAGCCAATCAGTGAATACACTGAGCCCCTGCCTCCTACCTCATCCCCAATTGTGGTAAACGCTTTCGCCATTTAGACCTCAGCCTGGTTACATCCCTCGTGGAATCTTCCATAGTTAAACCACAGCAAACCAGTTGACTTCGATTCATTGGACACCGGGGTAACTTCATAAATAAACATATAACAGAGAAACCCTCGCTACCGTTAGTGCCTCCGGGCTCATGAAAACCACTCTGTTTGAAGCAGCAAAATAGCTGACTACGATTTCTTTAACTTAATTGGAGGTTTTCCCATTCTAGTTGAAAGAGGAAAACTGCAAAGGAAAATGTCATTTGGCCTCACCAGTANAAGATATCCTAAGTTTTGGCAACGGTCCAGTTTTAAGATGCATATCGTGCTATTTCATATTCATGTTGAACATCGTTTGAAAAATTTGATTCCATAGTATGGAATTAGCTTCACTAGTTTGACAATAGTTTCGGATACTGTTTTTGAC